CCCCATAAATCATAGATGTCCGGAATGACTTTTTTGAGTGACGGAATCCGGAATAAAATAATTTTCTTGGAATCCGGAATACGGACAAATGAAAATTTTACGGTATACGAAAAAAGAAAAAAATTCGCGGAATCCCGAGTCCGAATTCCGAACATCTCTGCTATAAATGATATCATTTTCATCTAATGTGTTTTCAAGGTCATTTTAACATCGTGGCCTAACTCTTATAGGTTAAGTTTTTTAGGCCACAATGGTAAATTTCAAAGTTGGACATTAAAAAATAATGGTTCGTAAGCTTATTAGTGCAAAATAACAACTGTTTTCGAGAATAACAAGACAATTTCTGATCCAGAAGCCGGTGCTTGAATTCAGCAAATACTCCAAATTTCCGCGAATCGTTTCCAATGGAACCTAGAAAATTTTTTTTCAAAATTATGGATTTTTTTTCTTGAGAGTCCTACCTCATCATGGCTCTCTCCGAGCTCTTCAACCTCCTTCTCCACTATTTTCAGTGCTTCGCCAGTAACTTCTGGTCCGAATGGGAGAATTAGAAATAGTTTAATGTGTCTGTAGATTGTTTTAGGCGGCAAAAATTTCTCAGTCTGGCTAGAGAATCGAATTCTGGATTTTTTGATACTTTTGAGCATCGAATCGATAAAACTCTTGAAATCAGCCACAATCAGAGTCTGAAAAAAGTCTATAGGAATGCAAAATAAGGAGGCGAGAAAGCGCGCTCGAGGGCACCTCGAAAACTCAGCAAACAGCGTGACAACTTAGTTCCGCCAGAGTTTCGCAACTGTTTCGCCACCGCTTCGCCACTGTTTCCTAAAGAGTGCTGAGTAGGTTCAATTTCAGAAAAAAAAAACGATTTTTAACAGAATAAAAGGTTCAAAAAAGAAAGAAAAAACAACATGTCATTAAAAAATGTAAAATTATAAAGTTGAACATCTAAAAAAGAATGGTTCGTGAGCTTATTGGTGCATAAAAAATCCTATTCTAGTAACAAGACGGGAACAGAAAAAATTATTGATTTTTACATCCAGAAGCCAGTGCTCGAATTTAGCAAATACTCCAAATTTCCGCGAATCGTTTCCAATGGAACCTATAAATTTTTTGTCTAAATTATCGATTTTTCTTGAGGGAGCCCAACCTCATCATGGCTCTCTCTTAGCTCTTCAATCTCCTTGTCCACTATTTTCAGTGCTTCGCCAGTAACTTCTAGTCCGAATGGGAGAATTAGAGACAGTTTAATGTGTCTGTAGATTGTTTTAATTGGCAATGATTTTTCAGTTTGGCTATAATATCGATTTTTGGATCTTTTGATACTTTTGAGCATTGAATCGATAAAACTATTGAAATCCGCCACATTCAGAGTCTGAAAAAAATGGAATAAAATGATTCTAGCAACTCTAATCCCTAACCATTTCCCTTTCCTCCGTTTTAATCATCTCAATTGCACGTGACGCCTTCTTCTGAACGTCTTCAAGATCACAGTACAAAGCAGTGATTCCAATGTTATTCGCGAGCAATAAAACACAGATTTTTGGCTCTCCTGGATTATCAAGAGCTTCTGGAGCATCTGGAGCAGTGAAAAAATCCTGATCCCATTCCTCGATTTTTACCCTTTTCGCATTTTTGGAGGACCAAAAATTCTGAAGACGCTTTTCCGGTTTTCTATCAAAGCTTATTTCGTTCTTCAAATAGGTCGCGTCTTCTAGCTCTTGCTCATCGAGCTCATTCTCATTAACCGTTCTATTGATTGGTCCGTCTTGGATTCTGGAATGTTCTGAATCCTGGCTATCGGAGATGTTCGTCGGAGATTCATCTTCAGATTCTAATTCTTCTGAATCTGGATTATCACGATTATCATTTGTATCATTTGCTGGTTCCGGGTCAGCCGGTTGACTAGGACGAACTCTGAAAATTGAAAAAAAAAACAAAAATTTTCAGAAAATCGATATTCTCACTCTCTAGACTTTCCGGCGGAAAAAAGTATACGGTATCTTTTCGTGGTTAACAATGTTCCTTTAAAGAAATTTTCCTCTTCTTTATGATCAGATGATAAAATGACACTTCCGTCTTCAGAGCGAAAATACGAAATCCGTTTTTCTCGGTCTAGTTTGATAGTACATTTTGCTTTTTGTACTCTGAAAATATTAATGATTTTTGGATTTATAATTTTTTAAATTGTACATTTCCACAAACAGATCGCTGACTGGCCAGCTAAAAATGAAGACCAAATGTACTTTTTCCAGAAATGTGTATCCTTCCGCATGGAATTTTCTTGCAATTTTAGTCATTCGTCTGTATAGCCTGAAAGAAAATATATATTCGCAAAATTTTATCAAAACAGAATACTACTAACGCTCTATTGAAATCTCGGTTATTCCCTGTATATGACTCCGCATGTTTGCTTTCTTTGCGCCAAAGCGAAAAGTTCTCTGGATTTTTGTATTCTTTGACATTTTCGGCAATATATCTGAACGCTTTATGATAGCGTTGATGACTCGGCATTTTATGTGTGCTGTGAGCTGAAAAAATCAGTTTTTATTACTGTCTATTCAATAAAACGTGGGCG